CCCCGAGCTCTCCTGCCCCTCGCGGGGCTCGCCCGTCTCGCTCTTCCCTGCGCGCTCGCACCCACCCTGAGCATCCCTTTCTGCTACTCTCAGCACAGCCGTGTTCCTGCGGCTCTCGGCTTCTCTCAGCCCATCCGGCTGGCTCTGCTCCTCATCCCCATCCCGGCAGCTCGTTTGGCACTGTGGCAGTGGTGGGCACAGAGGCGGGTGCCCCCGTGGCAAGTGGAGAATGCACTGGGAAGCTTCACCCTGCTGGAGCTGAAGTCCCTCCGGTGTTTCCATCCTCCTGAGCCCTGTCCCTATGCCAAACCCCTGGGGTCATGTGGAAGCAAGGGTGACCTGGCTTGCTCTGCTCCTGGCACTGCTGTCAGGAGAAGAGGAGGGGTCCAAGCTCAGGAATGCAGAGCCTAGAAGATCTGAGTGCTTTGGCACATAGATGGGAGAAAGACCCCCCTCCCTGGGAGCTTATTTGCACTGATTTTTTGGAGGAAAACCTGGCTGTGACCTAGATAGTGTCCCAGGACATTCAAAGAGGAGCAGATTGGAGCTGGGAAATGACAAAGCAAAGGGACAGGGACAGTTTCTAGGAACCCAGAGGAGAGTCAGGATGTCTCCTCCATCGTGCCTTTGCTCCCATTTGCAACCTCTTGATTGTCAACACGAAGCAGAAAGGAATTTTTCTTCCCGACCAGGGTTCAATGGGGTTGTGGATAAAGGGATTTTTCAGAGCTTCAGAGTGAGCAAATGGGTTTGGTATTTCCTTCTCGAATGTTGTATGAAAGACCCAAAATTTGCTAAATAGAAAAAAATGCATCTGGCTGCAGTGCAGGCAATTCCTGGCTCTTCCCTGGATGCTTAGCCAAGATCAGAGGGCACAAACCAAGGAGCTGCTGTTTCCTGTCAGCTTGGAGCCCCAAAGGGGTGGCAATTCGTCTCCTCCTCTTGGACCTGGCCCCACATCCTCAGCCTGGATGGAGGAAGGACTGCAGGCTGCTCGGCGTGTCCTTCAGCCCAGCGTGTGCCTCGCTGCTCCCCCACCCTCTGCCTCCATTCCGCATGTCTGCGGCTGGAATCCCCCGCGCCTGCCTGGCTGGGCTGCAAACCTCTAATTGATTCCTCGTGGCTGGGCTGGGTTGATTGGAATCAGCAGGCCTCGTGTTCTGATGGCACATCCACAGGCCCCTTACCCACGCAGACAGCCTGGAGCGAGACGGGCGCCAGGCAGGGACACAGGGAGGGGATGCTGCCACCCCCAAAACCCTCCCACCCCGCGGGCAGCCAGGCTCAGCTCAGCTCCTGGAGACCTGGTGCCATCCTTCAGTGGTCTTGGCTCCTTGTCCAGCTGTTGTGTCCCTCCTTCTCGCTGCTCTTGGCCCCTTTCCCTCGCTGCATCGCAGTGACTCATCCTTGCTGAGCTCACCCTCGGGAGCTGCAGGAGAGCTGGCAAGGCAGGCACTCACCGGTGCCAAGAGAGGGTCTCTCACCTGGCAGCACCTTCACCCTGAGCCACAGGCCTGTGCTGATGGTGTGGTGGCACCAGAGTGCATCCTCAATTCCCCTGCCCATCCTTGGCTGATCACCCAGCCCGGGGAACAGGGCAGAAGTGGGGGAAGGCAGCGCACACAGGTCTCATCGCAGGTCTCATTTAATGTCTCCTGGAGGGATCTGGACAGGAAATAGAGAGTGTGGCTGGGGCATTGCCTGGGGATAATGAAACATGATGCTGGGCAGACACACAGTGCCTGATTCCCCAGCTCCTTGCAGTCTCTGTGCAGTGAATCGGATGTCGTGATGAGGAAGAGCAAGTTGCAGAGCACTGTGTGAGAAGAGGCACCCTGCCCACCTGTGCCACCACCGAGTGCCCACATCTGTGTGCCAGGGCCTGCCTAACTGCCTCTCTCTCCTCCTGCCCAGGCTCCTCTCTCAGAGACAGCCCCACTGGGCACCTCAGCAGCAGGATGAACCCCACCGTCAGCATCGCTGTCATCCTGACAGGTACAGCAGGCAGACACTCCTCCCCTCCCTGCTCCCCACACACCTCAGCCCAGAGCAGCCAGGCCAAGGCCTGGAGGTTTCATGGGCATCTCCAGAGCTCTCTGTTCCCTGTCCAACCCCCTCCTGCCTGTCCCAGTCCTCCAGGTCGCCCACTGCCAGATGATCAAGGACCTGAGTGCCTGCCTGCTGGGCCAGAACCTGCGTGTGGACTGCCGCTATGAGAACAAGACCAGCAACCCCCTGACCTACGAGTTCAGCATCACCAAGGACAACAGGAAGCACATCATCCACAGCACCATCAGCGTCTCCGAGAACATCTACCGCAGCCGAGCCAACGTCACCATGCACAAGAACTTGGTGTGCCTCCACCTGCAGAGCTTCACCACCAGCGACGAGGGTGTCTACATGTGCGAGCTGAAGGCCACCAACGACTACACTGGCAACCAGTCAAAGAACATCACTGTCATCAAAGGTGAGATGGGCAGTGGCACTTGGTTTCAGCCCCTCCTTCCCCACCTGCTCCTTGGCTTGGTAGGGCCACAGAGAAAACACAAGCCACGGTGGTGTCCCCAGACTCTCACTGATCTCCAGAAATGTTTCCTGACCCTTACATGCCCTTTCTACTGTAAGAAGAGCAGTTGACCCCACAGATGGGCTCACTCTGCCCTGTTTAAACCACTTACCCCTCTCTTGAGTCCCACCTCAGGGATATCACCCAGGTGTCCTCCCATAGAGAGGACAGTGGGGATTTTTCACACCTATGTCCCACGGGAGCAATCCTCCAGTTGCAGAGCCCTTCGCCTCACCTGGTGCCCATCCCCTTGTCACCTCAGCCAGGCACAGGCAGGGTTGTGCTTCCTAGGGTCCCTGTGCCCCCAAAATCTTTGCTGCCACGTGGTGGGAGGGGAAACAGGCAAGGGGCCAGCGTGGGACTTGCTGCATTTCTGTGGCAGAAAAGAGGCAAGAAGTTGGATCACAGTACCCATTTAGGCAGTGTGTCCCATGACCCATTCTGTGGGTATATCATGGGTCCCAGTACCCATTTAGGCAACACGGGCATATAATTTAGGCCATATATGTCTATATAACGTGTCCCAGTACCCCCAATACACCCAACCCGAGCCCTGCTCCCCAGGGATTTCACCGCGGCTCTTCTTTCCCTCCCCATTCCCTATCCTCACAGACAAACTGGAGAAATGCGCCGGCTTCAGCCTCTTGATCCAGAACACCTCGTGGCTCCTGCTGCTCCTGCTCTCCCTGCCTCTCCTGCAAGCCGTGGACTTCGTGTCCCTGTGAAAGGAAGAGCACACGCACACCCACGCACGCACACCCACGCGCACGCACACGCCGAGCTCCCCACCTTCCCCGCCAGGCCACAGCCCTTGGCAAGAGAAGCCGAAGCGTTTGGAAGACGTGAAACCTCTCTGTGTTCTCTCTATATAGTCGTATATCTAACGCTAACACCGTCCTGTGCCAAGACACACCATCCCACGCACACACGCCCTGCGCCGAAGCATGGTGGCTCTGCTAGGCTTCTCCCATCGCGCCTCCCCGCTCCGTAGGCTGGCTGGTTTGCTCATGCTGGGAGCACTGGAGCCTCAGCCTCGCTTAGCCCATCCCTTTTAACTTTTGGGGGTTTTGCCTGTTCTCAACTGGGGAAAGACAGCTGGATCGGCAGGTAAGAGAGAGGGATGATGCGAGAGCGTGCGGAGGGTCCTCGTGGTGGGCGCTGTGCTCGCAGCCCCTGGAGGTGATGATGGGGCTGTTGGTGTCCCCACCTGCCCTGCCCTGCCTGCCAGGTGATGGATTTCTCACCCTGCCCCTCTTGTCCTGAGTCACCCCGAGCTGGGAGTGGGCACAAGGCGAGTCCTGTCTCAGAGCAAGCAGGGAGGAGACAGGGGAGCCATGGGGTGATGCTGGGCCTGGCCAGGCTGGGAGGAGAGAGGGGAGCAGGTCTAGGAGGCACCCGTGAACCCTCCCTGCCTCCTTAGGGCTCTTCTGGGGCCCTGAGAGTGGGCTCACTGCAAATGTGGTTTGGCAACAAGTTTTTCCTAATCTGTTTCTTACAGCTGAGCTGGAAGTGAGGCTCCTTCAGACACCATCTGGTACCTTTGGGCAGCCTGAGCCAGACACCACTTGCTCTCCCTGGGGACCAACCCTTAGCTGTGACGAGAGAATTGCTGCCAGCACCCGCTCGTAGTGGAGGCAAGCAGAGCCTCTCTGAGCTAGCCACAGCCCTGCCTTCACCCCAACTCCCCTTCCCAAGGCCCCCAGAGCTGCATCCAGGCAGGCTGGTGGGGAGGGACCTCCCCTAAGGGAGTGTGACCCCAGGGACTCTGCAGGAACTGGCGTCACCTTGTCTTCCCCGAGGGAACATCTGGGGACCCCGACCCTTCCTCAAGGGTAGGCTCAGCAGCCTTCCCCCAGTCCCACCATGCTGCTGGGAGGAGCCCATGTGCTCCCTCCTCTCTCCCTCCTCCCTTTCAGTATTTCCCTGTCTCCCTTTAAGAGCAGAAAAAAACCTAAGGGCAGCCCAGCTCCTGGCCACCACCTCAGTAAGGCCAGGACGATCCCAGGGGTTGATGAGAGCTGGGAGAGGGACACCCAGCACAGCCCAGGGATACATCCCTGATGCCCGTGGGACCCCGAGGATCCTCCCAGAACCCTCACCCAGGGGAGATCACAGGGAGGGGAAGATGCAGGCAGGAACATCCAGGTCCATGGGGTGAACCCCAGCACTGCTGAGCTACCTGTGCAGCCTGGGCTGTTCCACCACAGCTTCGAGCAATCCGCAGCAGCTGCTCCCCACTCCTCGCCCTTCTCCAGACACCGCCAGCTGCCTCCTACCCCTGTGCCCATCCCCTGCCCATCCCTGCCTGCTTGCTTGCTGTCTAGTGCTGCTGAGGCCGTGTATAGCTGAGGTCTGGCTGTGCCCAGCTCCCTGGGCGTGCTGGCGAGCGCCGGGGCGGGTGCAGAGCCCAGCGGCAGAGCGCGGATGCGTCTCGAGTCTCATTTTTTTGTGAACATTTGTAGTTGTTTCCACAGCTTGTCGTCAAAGAAATTCTGTTAAGGGGGGGAAAAAAAAACCAACAAAACACAACAAAAAATAGAACCCTATGAAAAGCAACAACAAGAAGAAAAAAATATCTGTCCTCCAGGAGTGTTCCTCTGTCTGCACAATAAAACCCTACCTAGGTTGTGTGTTGGAGCCACGGGCACCCGTGTGTGCGGCGGTGGGGCGAGGGGCTGTGGTGGGGCTGGGATAGCCTGTGCCCTCAGTGGCCCCCACTGTGCCTCCTCCAGCCTCCCAGGAGCCCAAGACCAAGCAGGAGGGCAAGACTTGCCTTCCCTGGGGAGGGTTACCCCCTCCTGCCCACCCAGAGCACGGACCCCTGTGCCCAGACCCTTTGTTCGCATCCCTGTCCCAAAACCCTTGGCTCCATCCTGGTGTCCATCCCCACCCATCATGCCAGCTGGGAGGCAAAGTAGGGCATCCCAAATCCAGTCCTGGCCTGTCCATCCTCCAGGGAGGGAATTGCCAGGACTGGGAGAACAGATGGGAGCGGGGCTGGGTGTGCACATGTGTCCCAAAGCTCCTGTGCCATGCCATGCCATGGTCCTGCCTGTGCCACTGTGCTTTCACACTGCCTGTGGGGCTGCCAAGCACCCCTGTGTCCTCTGGAACAGCCAGAGCAGCCAAGCACTGCTCCCTGTCCAAGCTCAAGGTGCCACCCTAGGGCATCCTCACCTTGGGAGCAGAGCAGTGCCACCACCACTGCCACCACCCCCTAACGCTATTGGTGACCCTGCAGCAGCCTCCCAGACGCGTCCCTCCCTGCTGCAGGGTTGGAGCCAGGCAGGAGGGAGGAAGATGCCACCGTAATTACATCCCTCCTCATTATCTCCGGCAGGTGCTGGCTGAGTCACGGCCCAGGGCGGGTCAGGCGTCTGGGAGCGGCGCTGGGAGGGTGCCCTGGTGTCCTCGTGGAGCCACCAGGGACGGGTACGCCACTCCAGCTGCCCCGTGGCCACCTTTGCTGCAGGTTTAGGGAGCTCTTCTCCATACGGCATCCCCCAAAAGGGTGAAACCCAGACCAACTCCTCCTCTCACCCTAATGCTCTACTCCCAGACCTTACTGGCAGCCACGGGCACCTCCTCCTTCTGCCTTCCTGACCCCCACACCAACTTGTGTCCCTCCCTCTCTTAACCCTTCATCTGTCCTCTCCCTCCTGGGCTTCCATCTCCATCCCCAAACCTCTCTTTTCCCCACATTTAACCTCGGTTATCATCCCTCGATCCCGCAGCCCCCCTGCCCTCGCAGCCTCCCCTCCCCACATCCTCTGGCCGCGGGGTACCAGCCCCCCCGGGATCACGTCCCCTTTAAGCCTCCCCCGAGCTGGAATGCGAGAGGAGCATTTCAGCGCCCTGTGAGGTCAGATAAAGACACTATATTTATCTGGCCGGTAACCTGAGCCTCGAATTTCTGCGGTGGCGTTTTTACGTGGCCCCAGAGCCCTCCGGCTCAGCCCTCCCCGTGCACTGCGCTCGCTCCCGGGGTGGAGGGGCTGAGCCGGGGGGGGCCCCGGGCCCTCC